CCAGAGCCTTCTCTGTGGCCTCCTAACACAGTACCCACCTGTCTAGCCCAGCTCAGACACGGCTGCTGCTGCTGCTGCTGCTGCTGTGTTCTTAGTGCTCTGCTTTGGCCCCAGTTTGCTTTCTATGAACTTGCTCTTTACGCTATCTACACTGCCCCTCCTGACTTCCAGGAACAACTCCCCTTACTCTTCTTAAAGTCTGCATGTGTTCGTCTCCCCCAGCTGCTGTGACCATTCACTGCAGCACCTTGAAGAACACAGGTGTTTTCACCTCTAGTCCAGGAGCTCAGAGGTCCCAAAACAGCTTTCCCTAACCCCAAGCTCAGGTGTCAGCCATGCTGCTTCCTCCTAGGTTCTAAGAGGAGATCCTGTTGCCTTGCCTATTACAGTTTCTAGTGACTACGATGGCTTGTGGCCTCCTCTGCCATCTTCAAGGCCATCACTGTAGTCTCTCCTTCCATCTTCACATCACTTTCTCTGGCCCTGGCCCCTCATGGTTGCTCTTGTGGAGAGCCTTGGTGTAAATATCTCCAGAACAGCTGTCTTGTACATTTCTGTCCCTGGGACCAGCCCTCCCAGTTGAGTTTCTCAGAGACAGTGATGTGCTTACCCCTTTTGCCTACCAGTGTTTGTACAAGACTTTGGAAGCCCAGGTGTTGGAAAAGACAGCTGGGATCCTACTGACTGCCCTTGGATCCCAGCAGTCCCATTCATAGCTCTGTCCTAAGCAGTAATGATGAAGGCTCAGAATCCAAAAGCTCACAGTCCAGCTAAATAGGTTCACACATGAACAAATAGGAAGAGGATATGACAGCAGTCAACACTTAGCTGAAGCAGCTAGTTTTGTTGTCATTGTTGATTTTTTTTTGTTTATGATGTGAAAGGGTTATAAGTTATTCTTAAAGTTATAGGAAAGGAGAAGCAAAACTCTTTAGATATTTTTCTGTTTAAATAAATATTTTCTTAGATTTTCAATATTTATTTTGACTATATGACCAAGGTAGAGAATATAAAGAACTTGTATGGACTGAACATGATCCTAGAGAACAACCTTTTGTGTACCTGCTGATGTGAATGGGTGGCAGCGATAGTGTGGCCAGCTAGTCTTTCTGCATGGTTAGACTCAGATGATGAGTATAGGGAAATGGTGAGAGGTCTATCACTGGAGGATGTATGTACATTCACGGAACTTGTGGATACTCCCTTCCCACCTTAGTCTCCCAGATTATAAGCATGTACCACCATGCACAGGCAGCAACATCTAGGCTTTAAAGACTTTACCCTTGACAGATGCTCTCTCTGTTCAGCAAATTCTCAGAGCCCCAAACGGTCTTTGCACTGCCCTACACCTTCCCAAGACCTTTGGTGACTCTGTTAGAGGACCTATAAGGGCCATCTGTGTTTGTCTCTTCGTGTCCATTTTGGTTTGTGCCTGGCAGTGTGTCATCAGCACACTTGAGATCTGTAAGTAACCTTGAGATCTGAGTTATGACCTTTTGTTCATTTGAAGATGTACTGAGTTGTTCTACTTCAGAATGCACAGTGGGGGGTAACTGCACCTCAGGAGCCCAGAAAGGTCTCAAGGGAGGCAGGCTGCACTGATGTCATTGCACAGCAGTATTCCAGGAGAGCTAAACAAGTTGCTGAAGTTAAAGAAGAGATGATTTTAAAACACCTTGTAGTGAGTATTTTCATTGGGAACTCGTACTCTGACCAAAGATCGTGACTGCTTGATGTGCGCAAGAGTCGTATTTTTAGAATGTCATGAAAAATGGAGAAGCATATGAAAGGTGTTCTAGCTTTAGGAAATAATGCTAGTAGGGATTTTAGATTAAAGAGGTAATAAGATCTGCCTAGGCAGACTGAAGAGAGACAGTTTAGTAGTGAAAAATAAGGTTCTCAGACAAGTAAATGGCAGGCTGGGAAATAGAAATGTATCCTTTGAATGACAGGGAGCCAGTGCCTGTTTTTCAAACGCAAGACACTGAAGTTTGGGTCATTTAACTTGAACATTAGAGGAGTGATCCTAGAGTTGAAGTAATGATGGCAGAAAATTGGAGTAAAGCCACCCCAAGATTAGGGTTCAATATGTGAATTTATTTCAGGGGCCGAAGTTTGGATGTAGATTAAATATAAAAATGAAGAGCCAGACAATTCTACTACAAAATTGGATACAAGTTAATAAAATACAGGTATAATCACATGATGCTAAAGGGAGGCTTGGTGTCTGTGACTGACAACTTAGAAGTTGGGACCAATATGGGGTTAGACACTTGTGTTCTGTGATAATGTGTCTCTGTTGTTAGTTCAATTTTGAAAAGTGCTATCCTCAGTAGACAGCTCTATAGCTTTGGCAGGAAATTATGGTTGAGTCTGGTAGACAACCTCTGTCCTGGTGCTAGCCCAGAACCTAGCAGGGACTACTGAGAGAAGCAGCAGGCAGTGTCACTCCCAAGTTTGACTCTAGTCTGTAGTACTGCTGCTACAGGAGGATACCAAACCTGTGTGTCAAAGATGAAGTGATATGAGGAAAATCGGTATTTCACTTTCTTACAGTGAACAGGTATGTGATGCTTGGTGCTACAAAGTAGAGAGACATGATGGAGCTCAAAGGAGGAGAGGTGAGAGAGTGACAGACTGAGACCAGGAGGTTGGAAGGGCCAGGAGGTTGGAAGAGGCTCCTGGTTCAACCCATGAGAGAGCAACAGACACACCCCATACGGTACTATGACTTCTTCCATAACGAACTGCAAAGGCCACTGTAGTTTGGGAGCAAAATGAGTGTCTGCAGCAATCCCAGGTTTTGCTTGACCCCTGCAGCTAGTACAGGAGTTGAGGCTGGTAACTGAGCACAAGGCAGGTAGGACCCTCAACAAGGCACTTCTGCCCCGCTGCACCACTTCCTTCTGCTGCATTCTGGTCAAGCTAAAACAGAGCCTTCTCTGCCCTCTACGTGTGAGTGACACTTTGTTCTTTATGCTGTAGTGGTGTGTGTGTGTGTGTGTGTGTGTGTGTGTGTGTGTGTGTGTGTGTGTGTTGGACTGCCAAGTAGTCTGTGGGCAACCACAGTAATTGTTGACTAAGTTCCAGGACAGCAAAGAGAAGCTGCAGACAGTGTCCTGCTACAGAGGAAGAGCTGTGGGTAGCCTGGGAGGATGTACAGTGAGAACTGTGTGGGTGCTGGGGCTTCTTTTTAGACACTGCGATCTCAGTGCTGTGTTTGTGTTCTCTGACTCATGGATGCCTGTTTTCATTAAAGGAACTGGTTGGAGACAGGCTGGACTTGGCGTGAGTTCTAAGCTAAGGGAAACAAGTTTTAATCCCTGCATCTTCCTTCCTCGGCTTTCTGTCCATCAGGAATGCAGCCTGGCCTCTCTGACCTCCAGTCACCATCTGTCTGCTCCACTTGCTGTCATGCTCATGTAACACCACAGTGCAGTTGATGAGAACTGAGTGGCAATCTTTGAGGACATATTGGAGAGTTTTGACTGAACATTTCCTGAGCTGCCTCTGATCAGTAACACCTGTGTAGACATGTCTTCTCTGTTCGTCTTCTCCAGTACTGTGGCTTCTGACTGCCAGGTCTTTCCGAAGTGAGAAATCCTGTTGCACACCCTGATTTAGTCAGTGACTCTCAAGCTCCTTACACTTGAACTTTATAGAGAACCTTTACCACAAAGCTTTTCCCTGGGGATCCATGGAGCAGATGGCATCCACAGTAGCCAGGTCTTGAGTCTCACTTTCCATCCCTAACAGCCATTTGGGAGGCTGCCTGCTGGGCCACAAATTTACATAAGTGTTTCTAAGAATTCTGATTCTTGAGGAGCTCAGTATTCTTCCAGAAGTCCTCTTAATGCACTCTCTTGAAGATCACCTCTGATTAAGGCTCTCTCGCATGTCTGAGAATGTCTACCCATTGACTTCATTGTCTAGATTGCCGTGATTGGGGTGTAGTTTAAGAGTACAACTCGGGCCTGGCATGCTGACTCATACCTAAATCTCAACTCTCAGAAACTAAGACAGGATTGTTATTTCAAGGCTAGCCTAGGCTACAAAGGGAAACACACCTTTTAAAAATACACAACTTGGTTGTTTACCCCAAAGGGCCATTTCTGGGTCCTTTGAAGCAAAGTGGGAAGACAAGAACCTCCACAGAGAACAGAAAGCAGCACTGGAGCCAGTCCTGCACCCCAGGACTTGAGAGAGGCAGGTTTGTGCTGTGGCCTTGGGTCTCCTCAGAAACGCACAGGCACCTGATAGTTTCACAGTCCTTCAAAATGCCTAGGGTCCCCAAAGAGCAGAAACGGAGTGCTGGGAAATGTCCCATGGCAGACGTTGAGCATCAGGTGAGAAGCTTGTTGTGTTCCAGAAGCAGTGATCATCCAGTACAGAGGTCACTTTCGCCTTAATTCAGTTATCCCAGAAGCCATCCTTGTCCTCTTTTGTTTTGGCATCATAATTCTATGAACTCCAGTGTTACACTGGTTCTTACTTGGCTACTTATGTGGCACGTGGTTTGAGAACTGGAAGAGAAACCCAAAATGGTCAGAAGTGCTTTGACTAATGCACAGGTCCCTGAGCATGGTGGTCTTTAGACTGCTTTTTCATGGGGCCAGTGAAATGGTTCAGCAGGTAAAAGTGCTTGCCTTGTAAGTGCATGGGAGCACAATAATAAAATAAGCCTTATTTTAAAGAAAGCTTTCCTGTGACACCCACCTGTGTGAGTGACAGCGCCGTGAGTTTTACAAGGGAAGCTTACTGGCTCTCGGTTCTTTGATGTGGAACTCAGGCTTCCTCCTCTGTCAGGCAGTTGTGCCTAATGCTTTATTTTCACAGAAGCTGCAGCCAGCATCTGACCATCCCTGAATACTCCAGGGAGACATGGTGAGGATGTAGTGGGGAGTTGGGAGTCTGAGTGCAAATCTAAGTGATGATTCCAATTGGGGCTGGACACGGGTGTTAAATGACTGTGTTCTGATCATTTAGGTCTCTCTTTATAGGGCATCTTTTATGACCAAGACTGTCCAGTACCAAAATGAGCTACATAAATTCCTAATCTGGGATACAGCTGGACAAGAACGAGTAAGTCACTCTTTAATTTACTATGTTTTTCTGAGGCCCAAACCAAATTACAGCTCCAACTAAACTGTCAATGTCCCTGTCGTCCACCATTCCTCACTTCTGTGCACCAGAGATGCATTTGCTTCCATCTGCGTGGGCCAGCCTTTTTCTTTTCAATTAGAGCCACAAAGTCCACTGATGGAGAAAGTGATAATGGGCACTGAGGGCGTTTTTATACTTTTTAGTGTCTTAAAGTAAATGCTGACTAACAGGCCTGATAAAGTTCCTTGAGCAGAGTGTGTGATTTGGGGCTCTGTCCTCTAGTAAAGATGTAAAAGAATTAGTGGTAGAAAGGGAGAATTAAGCACAGCTCATTTATAGCTGCCTTTTAAAAGCTAAAGAGGGAACTTTACAGCATATAAACTTTAGGTTTAAGTGGACAGATTAGCTAATGCAGTGCCTTGCAACAGGCTCTTAAGTGCCTGACAGGAAGCCTGTCTGTAGCACAAGGCTGGAACTGGGGAGTTGTGGGGATAGACAAGGAATAAGGAGCAGAAACAGAAGCACACCTTCAGCCTGATGCCATTCTGGCACTAAGTCCAGTTTCCCTGGTGAGGTCCTGCAACAGTCATCCCATTATTCAGCTGCAACTTAATTTTGTTTTCAAATGATTCTATGCAAACAGAGCACCTGACAGATATGCAGTTCTGTCCTCACCTTCTCAAAGTGCAGCAGAAGGAATCAGGAAGAATAGTTTGTCATCACACTCTATCTAGAACAACACGTAGAGCCTGACAGACGGAAGAGCACCAGGCTAGGGTGCACATCTGAGCAGAGGTCATGTGCCTCAGCCTTGCTGCTTGCTGCCTTTAGTTTTGAATGCTGTGTGTCACTTATGAGAGCTGCCACCTTTCTGTTGGTGGCCTGTGTGCATCTAGAATGGGGAGTTAGGAGGACAGTGGTACCCTTTGTGACCATCACTCTTCCCCAAGTCCTACACACTGCCCTGGGACTGTGCTGTTAGCCAAACACATGGACATTCCCTAGTAGTGATGTGCCCTTCTACTGGATCCCAGGTTTCTATTACCCTTCAGATATATTTGATGCTCACATGCTGCGATTATCACAGGCTCCATTATCATGGTGACTTGTTTGTACCATGAAAATAGAATGAATGCTTAGGCATGAGCCTCCCTCAAGTGGTCACAGGAGCCTGAGGACTGTGTCTGCTTTGCCTGCCTCTTCCTTGCCCACTTCCAATTGATTCTTCAGCAGATAGTGCTGCTCTGTTGTGCGATCTGGCCTTCCTTGACTGAAGTACCATCTTGCAGACCAGAGCTGGGCAAGTGATGCTGAAAGTCCAGGCCAGGGACAGGGCCCTTGACCAGGAGACCCTGAAACAGGAAGAGAATCAAGAGAGGACGACAGGGTGTGGCCAGTTGTCATTATGCAGAAGGACATGCCCAGGGCTCCAGATTTTAGGATTCATTCAAGGATTTGCCCATTCATTTAGAGCTAGATCTTCTAGGCTCTGTATGGGAGCTATAGCTAGATGCCACTCCACCTCTTCCTGCCAATCTGCTCTGGAGCTGTAAACGTGCATTCTTCTCCAGTGTACCACACAGCTCTACATTCTCTTGTCTGTCTTCCTGTATTTGGCCCAGTAACTATCCAGGCTTTGTAACCTACCCTCTACTACCTGAGAGGAACTGTCCTAACCAGCCCATTGCCATAAAGCTGTGCTTGTTACACTCAGATCTAGAGGTCATCTTGTGTTCTTTCTGACAGCTCTGGTAGCCATTCAGTTCTGGCTTCAGCTGCCTTCACTGTCTCTCAAGTGTTCTGCAGCCCTTGTTTTTCTCCTCCTAGTTCTCAACCTATGTCACTACTCAGAGAACCCAGACACTGTAGGGAACATTGATCAGACTCTGACCTCTATCTGTGCCCATGTGTTCTTCTCCACTCTTTTCCCTACATGCTGGCCTCCATGCAGGTCCTTACATGCATACCTGCCATCAGGCCTTCACATATACTGACTCTTCTTACTGGCATACCCCTCTATCACTCATAGGCTCCTTACCAGCTTTTGGCCTCAGGCTAAATGTCATTCCTCAGGGCTTCCCTACCTTCCTGTAGCTGAACAGGGCCTGGTTCATTCTCTATCCTTGTCAGTATTTATTTTCAAGATGCTCATTTACAAGTAGTAATGTCTGCTTATCTGTCTATCTTTATTGACAACTTCCCCCAACCAAGATGTAAATGTCAAGAGTTAGGCCTGCAGTATCTTGCTTACTGCTATAGTCCCAGTGTTGGCACAGTACCCAAAGGCAAACTAATGCCCAGGGGTTAGCTGGGTGACAGCAAATGAACTGTGTCCTGCCTAGTCTTTTCTTGCCCTTGGCCATGGGATTGATGTTTGTACTTAGTACTTGGTAGCCCCCCTTCTGACAGATAAGGACAGAGCCTCTCTGCCCACTGTGGGTAGTGCATGACTCCAGTGATAAGTGTCTGATGGTAGTATGTTTATTGCGTAGCGCTCTGTGGGGTAGAGTTTCGTGGTGGGGACCCAAAACCATTGCAGAATGGAAAGGCTTTTTGATGAACTGAATAAACGTCCTCTCCATTTGACCCTCGCATCTGTTGCCACGTGTAGTTCTGAAAGATGGGTTTTCTGACAAGTTTCCAATGATCTCAAAGTGATTTCACTAAATTGATGGAAGCAAGTAAGAATTGAATGGTATGTGAGTCCCTGACTGGGGGAGCTTGTTACAGTCAAAGGAAAAAAGTGCTGAGAAGACAGTGATTTATATATCAAAGGGTTAAAAAGCACCCAGGAAAGCAGACTGGAGCTCTCAGATGTTTTTTCAAAGTGACTGTCTCTGTGAGGCCCACGAGAGTCCACTGTGAAATGAAAGGTCCCATGTTGTGCTCTCGTCCATTTCTAGCAGAAGCCTCTCCCCAGGCTGTCTTCTCACTGACTCAGACTCCTCTAAAAATCAGCTTCTGCTTTAAAAATAAACCTGGGTTTCTCAAATGCCAGATTAAATGAAACTTGTTTTCATGATTAAATTTATTTTCTTAAGACTGAGCACTTGTGAGTCCTTTCACCACTGTTTGCAATTTGAGTGAGTTCATCTTGTCACCGTTTGTCCCACTTACCCTTCACTAAGACTCCTGGGGTGTGCCAAGACAGCTCCACAGCACGTAAACAGATGGCTACCATTAATGCATATCATACGTGCAGCGCAGCATCCCCAGTGCCGCCTAACTGTATGACAGTCTAGAAGGCTTCTCCGCCACACCTCTATCAACCATATTTACAACCCTGTGTTTTCCTGTACTTGTTCTGCCTTACTGTTCCACAAAGGTCAGAACAGCATGAAGTCTCATCAGTTCTCACAGTGTTCATATAAGCAGTTGTTGTTAGTGCTTAAATTGGGACAAGGACAGCTTAAGAACATCCAGAGCTGAGATTGCCAGACCATGGGCCATGTTGAACCAACCATCTGCTCTTGTAAATAAAGTTTTATTGGAACGCAGGTATGCTTATCTGTTCATTTTTGTCTGTGCTTTATTCTCCAGTAATCCTGGTCCAAAAATACAATAATACTATAACACAAAACAGAGGGCCACAAGTAATAGCTTGTCTGGTCATCAACAGCAAAAGTTTGCTGTCCCCTAATCCGGAGCCTGATTTGGGGTACAGATGTGATGGCATATTTGGACTCTTCTTATGTGTCCATCTTCTTTCTTCACCAGAACAATATGGGAGACTTTCCAAGTCAACATGAGGGATGTTTTCCAGAATGGCCACCCTGGCTGTCAGCAACAGGAGTGTCACCCAGAATGGCCACCCTGGCTTGTAAATGTTGGATAAGACTGTACAAAGTAACCTTTTAAAGTGCTGCCAAACAACTAGTAACTAAGGCTGAAGCAGCATCGCAAGGTCATAATCCAGGCCTCATAGGCACGCCCAGTTAGAGCGTGGCACAGAGTAGCAAGGAGCCGAGCAGAAAATGTCTTTATGCCAGGTGGTGGTGGCGCACGCCTTTAGTCCCAGCGCTTGGGAGGCAGAGGCAGGCAGATCTCTGAGTTTGAGACCAGCCAAGGCTGCACAGAGAAACCCTGCCACCCCCCAAAAAAAGTCTCTAAAATTATGATACAGAAAGATGTTGTCCGAGAATGCTAGAGCACTGGACAAGATCAACAAAGACTGGGAAGACACATCCCAGAAAAGAGAACCCTCAGGTCTGTTGAGAAGCCCCCTTCAAGCCTAAGTGAATATGCAAAGAGGACATTGCAAAACCCAACAAATCAGCAGGATGACCAGACTAAGCAGAGACCCACTGGTGCTTCTTACATCAGCGCTGGAGTTTAAACCCAGTCTGCCACATTAGAGGGTGTTGATTAACTCCTTGATTTGATGCATTCTGATGAAGCATCTTAGTCAGAGGAGAGACAGTGTCCTGGAACCAACCCACATAGAGCCATCCTAGCAGTGCACAAAATCAGCTGGAGTGTTGAGAGTTACGCTCTTCAAAATGGCAGTGTGGGAGACATGGCAAGAGTGCCATTGTAATTGTTACATATATGGAGAAATGAGAACAGAGGATGACCCTGTAATGAAAATATATAGCCATAGAGTTTAAAATATGCCTTTAAGTATGTCCAAAGGTCCAAAGAATGGCAGATTGACTACAGATGGGAAGCTTATACAGAATGGAGGTTCATGAAGTATATGATGAAAATGCCAAGATTGAAAGCCACACTGTCAAGAAGCAAAGGTGGCCAAGTGGCAGTAGAACAGATCATTTGGGGACCAGAGGAGGAGAAGCCAGAAAAGTCTCAACAGTCTATGGATGTGGTTGGCCGAGTAAAATAGAGCTGGCACCCAGAAGGAATGAAGAAGGGGTACAGGTTAAAGATAGTATTTCTGTAATTGATGACTACAATTTTAATTTTGTTTAATGAGACATCTACTCTCAAATCTAAGGGTTTCAGTAAATCTTTAAGTATAACCAGGACCCTAGTCAAACTGCCAAAAAGTGAAGATAACGAGAAAATCCTCAAATAGCCAGAGATATATTGTATACAGGAGAACAGTAGGAATGGGGTTGACGTCTTACAGAAGCAGTGAAGCAGGCCAATAGACAGACTCTTTAGCATGCTGTGGGCATGCAAACAAGTTAGTCTGCCCAGATCGTTTTCCAGATACAAAATCAAAGTAGTCTTAGAAAAAGTGGGAGCACAGAGTGGCCACTCGTATCCTACAGAGAGAAATAATGAACTGGGCAGTGGTGGCGCGTGCCTTTAATCCCAGCACTCGGGAGGCAGAGACAGGTGGATCTCTGTGAGTTCGAGGCCAGCCTGGTCTATAGAGCAAGTTCCAGGCTCCAAAGCTACAGAGAATTCCTATCTGGAAAAAAAGAGAGAAAGAAAGGATAAGCAGTACATGTGATAGAGAGTGAAGAGCATATTTTTTTTTCTTCTCGACTCTGGATAACTAGTTATTTCACTCAGCAATTAATGTGTGCATTTCAAGCATTTAGCAGCATCAGCCAAAGAATGGTGAAGTAGACAAGGTTAAATTCATACAAGGTTCTAATAGGCAAGGTTAGATTCATTTAAGATTCTGATGTTTTATAGGAAGCATACATTTAAATTAGAAGTGTATTGGGAAAGAAACTTATATCGTATTTGCAAGAACAACCACCTAATAAATAATGCACAAAAATATAGTAAAAAGCTAGAAGGGGGCTGGGGCCAGGCACACTAAACCCAGAGTTTGATCCCCAGCACTACATAAGCCAGGAGTCCTTCACTGGGGGATTGAGGTGGGAGTGTCAGCAGTTTAAGGTCATCCTTGGCAACATCAGGAATTCGAAACCAGTTAGAGGTACTAAAACGTAGTCACTGCAGAGAGAGGAAGAAAGGAAGGATGAACATTTTTTTAAATTTTGAACAAATTTGCAGCAAAGCTCTAGACCTGTGTCCAGACACAGCATATCTTTTTAGTTGTGAAAGGACCAAACTGAGCAGGCAGAGGTGGCAGAACTGCCACGTGACAGACCTTAGCAGTGGTGCTTAAAGAAATGGACACACCTCTGCACAGAGAAGAGAAAATAAGAGAATAGAAAAGGGTATTCTATGCAGATTATAAGCACAAAGGGGAAAAAAACAATACTGTGGTTGTTTCCATCTGCAGATGGACTCGAGGGCAAGTATTATCAAGGTTAGAGATCTTGGGGAATTGTCTGTGTTGACAGAAATGCTTTGTCTTTGTGATGAGCATTTACAAGGGGATTTACATTTGTTGGCTTATACATTGTAGACTTGCAATCTGCTTTTCTTGGTGTGAATTTCCCCTTACAAAACTGGAGAGAAAGAAATGACCCTCTAAAGGATGTCGCCATCACAAGTACATCCATAGCAGCTAGGGCCTTGATCCTAGTTGCACCTACGTGCTGCTGTCTCATTATCTTTCACTATACAAGTCAGTCCAACATTTTAAATGTTTGTGAGGGGCGGAAAGGTCTGAACTGGCTTGTAGCTCTTGGTTATTCTGTAGTGCATGAGATCCATTCCAGGCCCTAGCAGTCATCATGTCTTCCTTCATGAACGTTCCAGTTAGAATATCACTACTTTATCAAAAGGTTGAAAGTCAAGGTATAAGATGAAGACATGACACTTGATGGGGGAAAACGACACTAGAACATTTGGCCAAGACCCCGATTTGAATGAGGAAAGAGCATCACATTTTCCATCCCAAACTCCTCCAAGGAAATAGCCTGCTGAATTACCCTCGCTCTGAGGGTAAGCCTTTCCCTAAGTCCCTCTCTAGTGTGTGGGGAAAGGAAGCAGAAAGTGCTTGCAGTATGACGTTTGGAAGTGCAGTGAGACATATGCATGCAGATGTCAGAAAAGCAAGTTGCACACTCGCTCAAGTAGTAAATTCAAATATGTATTCATGTCTAGGAAAACTGTTTACAGCAGTGGGGTTTTTTGGGGGGGGATTGTTTGTTTTTTAATTCATCTATTTATTTTACAGCCCGGCAGCAGCCTCCCCATCCTCCCCTCCCAGACCCTCTCCCCCACTATACTCCTACCCCAAATCCCCCTCTTCTGTCTCTATCCAGACAAGGGCAGGTCTCCTATGAGTATCAATAAAACATGGCATATCAAGTTGCAGTAAGACTAAGTACCTCCCCATGTGTTAAGACTGGCCAAGATGACCCAGTATGAGGGGTAGGGTCCCAAAAGCCATTAAAAGAGTCAGAGACAGCCCCTGCTGCCACTGTTAGTCCCACAAGAGGATCAAGCTACACCGCTATAACATATATGCAGAGTGCCTAGGTCAGTCTCATGCAGGCTCCCTCGTCGTCCTTTCAGTCTCTGTGAGCCCTTATTGTCCCAGATTAGTTCATTGTATGTGCCTTCCTGTGGTATCTTTGACCGCTGTGGCTATAGCAGTGTTTTTATCTCCTTAGTTTGGGAAGCCAAAGTTTAAAGGACTATTGAACAAATGAATTTGGGAAGTACAATGTTGAGTTCAATTAAAAAGCTTTCTTAACTGAAACAATTGTTTATAGTCCCATATTCAGTTTCTATAAAGCTGTTTTCTAGACTGTTTTCTGGGACATTCCAGCACTATCATCAGTCTTGGCCTTTAGTAATTACAGGTTTGTTTGCTCTGAAGCATTATGTCATCTTCTGTGACTTCAGAGAAAGATTACCTTTTGTGCAGGGATAATGGACTTCAAAGTCTGCTAAGGGGACATCCTTAACTGGCTTTCCCAGTTTCATTGCTTCTTTTCCCCTCTGCAGTTTCGTGCGTTGGCACCGATGTACTATCGAGGGTCAGCAGCAGCCATCATCGTTTATGATATCACAAAAGAAGTAAGACTTTATTTATTTATTCTTAGATGCCATCATTTATTGCTCAGGCCTCTAGCTACTCTCCTTTCATGTTGCAGGAGACGTTTTCAACGCTGAAGAACTGGGTGAGAGAGCTCCGCCAGCATGGCCCCCCTAGCATTGTGGTTGCCATTGCTGGGAACAAATGTGATCTTACCGACGTCAGGTGAGTTATTAGACATGAGATTCCCATACTGATTATATGTTCTTTTTCTAATGAGCCACATCCATGGTAAGAGTCTAGCTTTTATTTTATCTTTGACATTGAAAAATGTCTTGTGTTATGTGGTTGGCCCTGAAGTTTCAAGCTAAAATGAAGACTAAAGGCATTTGGAGTTAATTATATTACATGTAGACAGGCGTGTAATTTACTCAAACCTTAGTGGTATCACATATGACATTATCTGAGATCATTGCCTCTCAGGCTGCTATGACACAGAGTAACAGAATACAAAAAGTGCATTTTATTGATAGTTTCAGTGTACCACACATTTGATTCCCAGAGCAGGGACCTTGTTTTGTTTTGTTTTGTTTTGTTTTGTTTTGTTTTGTTGGGGGGGGGGGGCTCTTTAATATAGGGGTTGGAGAAAACCTTGTCACAAAAATCATGTGACTGGAAGGACTGTCTGGGCTCATGCCACGATGATCCTTCTGTATGGGGGGTGAGGGAGAGGTCTTAAGGGACTGACCCTCTGATTAGCAATTGTTGCCTTCCAGAGAAGTCATGGAGAGAGATGCTAAGGACTACGCTGATTCCATTCATGCCATCTTTGTAGAGACCAGCGCAAAAAATGCAATAAACATAAATGAACTCTTTATAGAAATTAGTAAGTATCCCTGCATCTTTGGGGTTTCCTCTATTCAGGGCAAACAAAAACAGAATTTTCTTTTTGGTTAGAACCCAACTTGTTTGAAGTTGTCTCTGAGACTGTTTCCTTGCAAGGAGATTTGAGCAGATGAGGACCACCAGAGTCTCTTTTGCAGTAGGGTTTCTGGAGAGATGGTGCTTGGTAGATAGTGCCTTTCCAGAAAGAATGCCTCTCAGTGTCGAAGCTGCTTTCCTCTCTCCTCTTATAAACATTGTTCATCCAAGGCCATCAGAAATGAACAGAATAATCTGGAAAGACGGCTTAGCAAGGAGGAGCATACACTGCTCTTCCAGAGGACCTGAGTGCATTCCCGGCACCACACTGTGCTCACAACCACCTGGGACTCTGCTCCAGGGGGTCTAACACTTCCGGCCTCTGAACTCAGCTGAACTTGTTTGTTCTAGAAGAGGAAAAAAAGTAGCTCATGGGGAATGCAATGTGGATATGGTCTGTCTGTAAGAAAACCCTAAAACAGTACTTGGCAAGGGAAGGGTCAGACCACTCCCCTTCTCCTCCTTCATAGTGTTAGCATGTTGACAGTGGGTGAGAGAAGCTGCTTGGTGCCTTTGGGATTCTCTGCAGATTGGTTCTGTGTTTATTCATTTCATTCAGATTTATCAAAATATTTATTGGGAACTCTTCCAGACTCAAGGGAGCCAGTCTAAAGAAGACAGACACAGCCCTTGCTCTCCTGGAATGCTTGTTCTGTTGAGCGAGTCAGGCAGTGAACTCCAGATAAATAGGATCATTTCACATAATAATAAGAGACATGAAGAAAGCAATGAGATAGATGTAAACATGTGTGCATGGGTGTCCAAGAAAGCCCCTCTGGGGAAGATAGTTGGAAGCTGAGGCCTGATGAAGGACTCTTTGAGGCAGTGGGATGGGGGCTGAGGCCTGACAGTATAGGCCTCAAGCTAGATAACTTGCTTTCACAGAGCAGTCAGCTCCCAAATGAAGGGAGCACCCATCCAAGCATAGTACATTTACCCATTAACTGCCCTTAGGTTGAAATCCAAAGTAGCTGGAAGCTATAAGAGCTCTTGACCTTGGTGAAGGTGAAAGTCATGAATTGCAAGACCCCCCCAGAGCCATTCAGGGACTGCCCAAAGGGAGCAGAAGTGTGGTCCCCCATGGGCTAGACCAATCAATTGCAGTAGTTGGGGTCTCCCTGGGTTCTAGAGAATAGGCATGCTTTGTTCTCATTTTGTATTTCCTTTATGAGGCAGGGGCTCAGAGTCTCACTCTATAGCCCAGGTTTGAACTCACAGCAGTCCCCCTTCCTCTGCCTCTAGAGTTCTAGAATTGACAAGTCTGAGTCCACACATCTAGTCCTGTGATGGGTTAGATGCTCAGAGATCTGGGTTTTTATGCATGTGTTCCATTGTTTCAGTTGACCACTAATTTAAACCTTTTCAGAGTCCATGGCAGACATCACAGCCAGTGGTCTGCCTCTGACACACTCAAGCATTTCTCTTCATTCCAGGAGTAGACATGGTGCTCATAGCTAGCAGGTAGCCAGATCTGTCAGGACAGTGTGCCATGTTGGTTTTGTTGTGGGTTCTTTCTCTGTACTATAGCAATTTTAAATATAAACAGGTTTACAAGCAACAAATCCTTATACCAGAACATACACAAACAGATGCAGCCCTGTGATAGTGACTTCCCTGACATGTTCAAGGCCTTGGGTTCAGTTGCCAGCACTGCAAAGACATAGTGCACACTTGTAACTGAGAAGAATTGAACATGACCACAGAGATGGAAACCAGACAGAGTTAGAAATCATCCTTATTTTTTGCTCAGTGAGTATTGTCAGATAACTTATGCCTAGACATGAGCTTTGGGTTGAAACATAATGTGTATATAGGAAAGGGCAATTTCAGAAGCACAGAGGTACCATGTTGTCTCAGAAAGAACAAAGCCTGTGGTCTACACTCCAGGAGGCACAGCTGCTGCCACCCCACGGGTAACCCATCCTGATAGCTTACTCCAGGTGCTTTTGTTTGCTTTATTTTTTGAAACAAGCTATCACTATGTAGCCCAGGCTGTATAGTAGTACAGCCTGGGCTACTATATATATATATGTAGTATATATATATATATATATATATATGTAGTCCTGGACCTCTATTTGTAGGCCAGTATGGCCTTCAACTCAAAGAGACCTGCCTGCTCTGCATCCCCGAGCTGGGATTAAATACTGTGCAGCACTCTATTACTCTGTTTCCTCTGCTGTCCTCCCCTGTCTCCATCTTCTGTAGCCGGCCTGACCTCACACTCACTCTGTGACTGATGACGAGGATGACTTGGATAACCTCCTTTCTCTCCCTTCTCACCCTAGAATATACTGGCACCACCCTGCCTGTTCAGTGCTGGGAATTGAACCCACATATGCTAAGCAGGCACTCTTCCAACTGACCACCCTATTTACTCTTCTGTGTCTGGCTGCTACTCTATATCACATGTTAAAATTGTCTGTACATCCCATACAGCTGCAAAAGATGCATTCACAATGCTAGTGTATGTTAGTGTCAGATCACAAAGTTGAAAAATGAAGAAATGGATACTGTTTACTGTATAATTGTCCCTTCTGTTGTTGACAGACGTTGGGCAGTTGTTTCAAACTTAGGGCAATTTCAGTCTGCTGTGTGAACATCCTGTGTCCTCTGGGAAACATCTGGATGCATTTTTTGCTCCGTATCTCTGTGCCCAAGAGAAAAATGGCTGGGTCATTAGGTTTGCATGTGTTCACTGTGACTTTACTGCCAAACAGTTTGCAAAGTTGTACTTGTGCCAACTGCTGCCCACAGCGGTGGTGTACAAGATTTCTTCCCTGTCAGTCTGTGGGAGAGGCAGGGTCTGAATCTCCGTGTCTGCCTTGAAGCTGAACGCCTGTCGGCATACAGATTTCCACCTGGACAGTAGCTGGCATCCTCCTCTTCAGAGTTCTTAATCTCTTGCCTGCCTCTGCCGAGTCACCACCCCCCTTCCTAATGACTTGTACTTCACTCTGGATATCAGTCCCTGGTTGGTTATGTGTGTTGGAAATACCTACCCTTAGGTTTGACTTTGATTTCTGAACCAGTCCTTCAATGAACTGAGCTTCTTAACCTTATCCAGATTCCCTTTGTACTCACTTTCCTTTATACTCAGCATAGTTCCTGCTTAAGAAACCATTGGTCGTGTCCAGACCATCAAGCTGTCCTCTGCTTTCTTCTAAAACACTTTGTCACATTTGAAAATCTTGTCACATTTCACAGTTGCCTCTCTGGTACCAGCTATATCTCAGCTTCCGTTTATTGAGAAGACCATAGTAACAAGAGTCTTGGAGAGACTAACTACATTTGTGGTTTATTAACAGCAGTGTCACAGCACATTTGGGAGTCACACTGTGTGCTGTTTACACAGGTTGCCACCCACGATGGGGAGCCCTCAAAATTCTGCAGCCACACCCAGAGGGTTGTCAGGAATTTTTCTCTCAGCCTTGCTGATGTCAGATGTCCCTGTCTGTTAATTCCTTCTTTAAACAACCTGACAGAAAGCCTTTCTCTGCCTGACGCTATGCCACAGAGATCAGAAAGTGCCACAGCAGAAAACAGGCAAGATTGGAGGGCCCAGTCTAGTACGAGGATGCCAGCCACACAGTAAACAAGTCCAGCATGTTGCTGGTGTCTTGGTGCTTTGTGGTGTGTGAGGGTTAGAATAGAGCAGGAGGAGGAGGGCAGGAATGCCTTTGTACAAGAAGCAGCCTTGAGCCTTGTCAGCCAGGTGGGTGGATGGTGATTGAAGCTTTTCTCAAAATTGACATTAGCCTCACAGAGCAGTAAAGTGAAGCCTGTCCCTCTCCTACGTTGTTGTCGATGATAAAATGTCACAGCCTCTTCTGAGAGCAACTTGGCAGCATCTGTCAAAAGCTAAATTACAGTAGGTAGTCACTGGAAGTTTGGTGCATGTGACAGATACATGCCCAGGAGTAGAGCAGTGCCCTGGCTCCTTTATTCCTGTTTCTTAGTCCCCCACACACAGTTGTTCAAAACACTGACATACTGGGGATTGATGTTGATCGCTAGAGACAGTGCAGATGCTCAACCATTCAGAGCCACAGCAGCCCACTGTGTCCTGTGAGGGACCATCCTGAGGGGCAGAGGAGCTGAGTACATCTGGGAGTATCCACATGCCTATGATGTCCTCTGCCATGAGACAAGAAACCAAGCATGTTGGTTGTCTTTTGTTTTTGTTCTTAGGTGTGTGTATATGTTTACTGACTCAAAAGAAAATGTTTTTAGTCTAATTTTTGTATTTAAAAAGCTTACTAAATGCTGTTTGGTATTCTTATTTGGATCCTGGAATAGAAGTATATTAGTTTAGGAACTAGTGACATCTAAAAGACTGGTGACTTCTGGTGCCATAGCAGTGTTTGTTCACTGTGGCAGGTGTCTTGTAGGATCAGGGTTAGGTGATGCTGGGTCACTGTCAACAGGCACACTCTGTCCCTGTCATCTTGGTCATCTTCCTTGTCTTACCTCAATGAAACTGACATGTTGCATTGCCAAAATTGTGTCTGAGAAGGAACAGATTAGGAAATCAAAGCTTGTGCCTTCTCTCCTTTCCTCTCTTCTCTCTTTGGTGCAGGCCGAAGAATTCCATCCACGGATGCCAACCCGCCGTCTGGCGGCAAGGGCTTCAAACTCCGAAGACAGCCATCGGAGCCAAAGCGAAGCTGCTGCTGACCACCCGGGGCCCCACACTAATGAAGAAGCAGGTGGTCCTGGATGTTGCAGGAGGACCAGTCCCTGCCATTGGCAACTGCCTCGTGCCCTGGAGTCTTCTTCATGCAAAAAGGACTCAGAGGAACTGGCTGCTGGGTACTCTTGGAAGACTACAGCAGGTGTTTCCAAATGCAGACTTGTGTCGCGGACTCTGGTGTGCAAAGGGACCACATCCTTGGCTGCTGACATAGCTGAAAGGAGCATCTGATGTATGGATGGTAGGACTGAATTGCAGGTACTTTTGTAATCAGGATGTCGTGTATCATTTGTAAAGGGAAACGAGCACTTTTGTGGATCTTAAGGGAAAACGCTATGGAGATGGTTATCTCCTTGGTCCTTGTCGCTGGTGTCAGAGTAGCATCATTTAAGATGTGGAAAGTGATCACAAGTGGAGGGATGGTTGGCCCTGGGACAGTTTTCGCCATCTCTCAAGCACTTTCATACACCACAGCGGCGGCGGCCTGGTTCACCTCGGGTTTACTTCTGACCCTGTATGTGTCACCACACATTAGTTTTATCATTACCTTTCTCAGTAAGCTCTCATGGTCCAGGTGATGGTGTAGAGATGCTACCTGGAGCCAGTTGAGTTACATGTGTCACTGATGAGCAGTGGTTTAAAAGGAAGAGAGAAAGAACAAAGGAAGTGATTTTTTTTTTTTTTTTTTTGGTTTTTGGTCCAGGTATTTGGTGGAAAAAGAAAACAAAAACAAATGTGTGCTGCCTAGCATATGTACATTTGTAGTCTATATTTATGAGACCATTGCTTAAAATTATAAATTATGTAAATACATTAATAACTTCTGAATTCCACATTCAGTACTCCATTTAGTCGTGCACCCACTCATTTTTCAGCCAGTCCACAGGAGATTTTGAAGCGCATTCACCTTGTGCAAAAGCATGGAACACTTAGCTCACAGCTCCTTCCTCCTCCCCTTGCCCTTCTGCATCCCATCTGGAAATGGTAATAAAGACATATGCCTCCTTGACAAGCGACCAGTCCTTGCTAGCCTGGGGCAAGTGAGAGCCTAGCACCCAGCACTCACCTGGCCTTGGCAGTGGGGAGCTCAGACCAACTGTGTTGAGAGTGCTTTGCATATAACAGCCAGTTCGCCTCCCCTCCTTTATTCTCTCTTGCCTCTGCTAGTGCTTTGCACTCTTTTCCCTCAGGAGCCTAATGAGGTTCTTAATATAATCTAAAAATAAAGCCCCCAAGTGAAACTGCTGGAAATTTGTTCCTGGTCTAATTTGGCACCCTTCCAGCCCAAGTATTGTAAGGGGAGGAAATTTACAAGATTAAATAGAAAATGAAACAGCTTGAATTTCAAACCAAATTGTGTTTTCAGAGCTGTCCTTAACTGAACAGTCAAAACTTTTCAAAACAACTGTTACTACTTTGTGCCCTCGCCTACATGCTTCACATGGAGAGGTTTTAGCGAAAGGGCAGCCACATGACACAGACCTGGGTGAGACCTCGTGAGCATCTCAGTTGTTTCCTCTTACTCAAGTCAGACTGGAAGCGCCTTGTGTGGACTCAGTGTCACCTCATTCCTGAGCCTCCTGCGCAGCATTAAATTCTCACATGTGAGAAAACCCTGTGGTTTCCCAAGACTGAGCTGCTTCCACCTGCAGTGGCTTGATATGACTTGACATAAACCTGCGGAAAGGCAGGGGGCCCCGCCTGGTGTGTCTCCAGGTCAAAACAAAACAATACTGCTTGGCTCATGTGAACGAGACTGCCCATGTGAGACCCTTTCTGTCTCATTTCACCAAAAGACGGTATAAATTCATGACCTGAATAGTCCAGTAAATTCTGAAAGTTGTGGGACATCCAGTGGCTGCTCTCCTGTGGCACATGGTGACTTCTCTAGCTGATTCCTTCTCGTGACACGTGTAGGAAATGACTCTGGCCATGACTGCATGTCTTCCCAACAGAATGAGCAGCATGACTCATGGTCATGACCCTCTGTTCATGTCTTTCTTGACCTCTCTGTCACCAGTCTGTCCAAGAAATGAAGGGGGCTGCCCTCCCTGTGGTGTCATGTACTGCTTAATGGCAGCAGATTGCAGCTGGGCCCACACTCCATGGTCAATGAACACAGGGAGGTCTCCGTGTCCTTTCCTCCTATAAAATGCATATTAAAATGTAGGCAGACATAGTGCTTTATTCTGACCACATTTTAGATTAAACAGGAATCGAATATACATTTCTTGTTCTCCTGGTTGTTTCTTAAGAGAAATAGCCAGACTCCAAAGGCATTGAGACATAGCTCCTCCATAAAAATCTTTGGTTCCAAATGATGCAGGGCCATTTTTAAAAACTTTGAAGACTGAACAGAAGGGGCAAGATCTTTAATTAACTGCCAGTGTGTATTGATTTCTTTCAGAGAAATTGAAATAAGCTCCTTGCAGGTGTCCAATCCTAGGAGCCACTGGTCTCTCGATCTCTTCTTTTACATAAGTGTTTTTCTGATTCTGTGATAACTAATTAACTATCATTTGGTGATTAGAAGAACATAAAGTGAGAGTCTGATTAAGTGTCCTTCAGTGTAAACTCTGTGAGAAGTGATTGGAGAGAAATACCTACTGCAAGCCCTTCTGGTTCCCAATGAAATTCCATTGCCTGCTTGTCAGCTTCAGCCAAGACAAGGACTGTACATGGCAGCCGAGAGATTTATTCCTTCTAAAATAACATGGGTCCTTGTTCCCCATTTATGATGATGTTTGAAGTGCCCACCTCTTCTCATTGTGCTCCTCTTCCTTGGACGCCTACCCAGGTCAAAGGATCAAGATTTTCTTATGAGAGACATGGCTACATCAAGAGGCCAGTGTCATTGTGAAAATTAGCTGTTCTCTGGATTTTTAAATATATGATGGGGGCTGGCAGTGACCCACATTTAATTTCAGAACTTACCTATAAGTCTTACATCTGTTCCTTATCTCCAGGGGAAAAGTGGGTTTGAGGACTTTTTAAGCTCTTAAGAGATACAGCTGAGAGTGTTCTGTAGGTAGCTGTCACCTGGCACCCAGGGGGCTGCCAAACCAGAGGGTCTGCTGCTATATTTCAAGGTTCCCATGTTTGAATGGGTGGGTTCAGTTTGGGGTACACTGCATGTCAGTACATTGGCCTCCACGTCCCAAAAGGCAATGGTTCACGGCGTTCTGTCTTTTCTATTGCAAAAGAGACTGATGGGGTTCCGTTCAACATTTCTCACCCATTCATTCAGAGACCCTCATACTGTGTGATCTCTGCAACCAGCCCTTAGACACCCATGTGTCTGCAAGACCCTGTACGAGTCAGGAGAGAATCCTGGGGAAAGGTAGCTGGGAACCCTTAGCTCTCCTCTAACCACCCACCAGTCCTGCTTCAGAGCATGGCAGCCAGAGAGGTGACTTGGATCACAGAACTTACCAGGCTCCTCGGCCTGATTCTGGTGAGGGCAGAGTGGTCATGGAGTCCGTTGGAAGTTCTTATTTAAACTTGTTTTGAAGGGACAAGCAGCACAATTTTTGTTCATTGTTTGATTTTATCAGTTTTTAAGAAAGAAATGGGATATACTTTTAAGATTAAAGCTGTTAACTATGCCTTCATGGGGGGGGGGGGGAGTTTGATGATAAAAGATGATGGTTTAAGACAATTCATGAATGATTTTTTTTTTTTTTTAATGAGGTTGATGAGATGGCTCGGTAGGTAAAGGCACTTGCTGCTAAGGCTAATGACACAAGTTCAATCCCTGGAACCCACATAGTGAAAGGAGAAGAATTCCACAAGTTGTTCTCTGATCTCCACATGTCCTCCCACACCTCACACACACACCAATAAGTGTCATAATGTTTAAAAAATGTTCTGTGCAGTAGATTATCAAGAAGACAAACAGAGCACTGTGCAGTTTAGGAAAAGAAGGGTAAGGTAGAATTTAGCCTGAGACTTAAAGAATGACCTCAACAGATTTCCTGTGACAGCAGAGATTCTGGTCCAGGGATAGAAAACCAGGCAATCTGATTATCTGATTTGCAAGAAATGTTAATGGAATTCCAGGGCATTTGTCCTGTTTTATGTGCAAATGAAGCTCTAAAAAATATTAGAAGGGTATTACCCTTCTCAGGATCCTTCCTTCTGCACCTCAGAAGGTGATGAGTGAGGGGCCTACACTGATGAAGTTCATTAGACATGCTGAGAAGGGCAAATGAATAGAGCTTAGAATCACTGTATTTCTCAGCTCGTCCTTCAGGATGCTCCGAGCATGTAGGAGTGATTTACTCTCTGGAGCTAGGACTTCCACCAGCATAGATCAAGTTTAATTTGATGGTCTGTACCATCAGAAATAACTAATATCTGTGTTCTTTCCTCTCAGAGGGTAATCAATTAGAGATGTGCTAGAATATTTTTGGCTTCAAAACAAAAGGATTCAGAAGTTTAATAAAATAGAATCTCAGACCTTCCATTGATTCCTTTCATTATGTTGAACGTTTTAGATAGCAAGATTAGAATATATAAATAGTAGATGGTAAGATTGAAACCATAATGTCTAAAAAACTTGCAGAAAAAATGTTTTAATTTGCTGTGAGTTCATTTTATGGTGCCCAGTGCCTCATCAAAATGCTGCATAATTACAAGCAGCAAAAACCCGGGTAGGTCTCCACAGACAGGACTTAAGTGCCAAGCTCTGTCTCCCAATTAATGGGGAGTCTAAGACAGTAATGACTTTTTTAGAGCCTTCTTTAATTGACAGTTTTCAAGCGTGGGTCTTAATGTCCTCCTTAATCGCACAGTAGAAATGGCCTGCTGCTTTCCTCATGCCACTTCTTGATTCAGGAACTTGACAGTGTTTAGAGGCAGATTGTGGATGGTAGTCCACTGAAGGGATTCATCTTTACATAGAAGTAACTGTAACATTGTCAAGGAGGCCCCCAACGCATCTAAAACCCAGTGTGTGCTTCATCCACTGTTCCACAAAGCAGGGCTTCAATTACTTGCTCAGCCAGCCTGAAGTCCACCCCATGCTCGCCAGCTCCAGATCACTGCCAGACCCTGCCCATAATACTGTTTGTTTTTAGGGCTTGTCTTAACATTGTTTGACCATCATTAACATTTGGCATTTACACTTTAATTATCCATTTCACCCCTTAGAAAAACTTGGAAGCAAGGCTGGAGCCCTCCACCCCCTAAATCCCTGTTTGAAGTTACTACATGGTCATGAAACTTTCTCAACTTGGGTCATTCCCCCAAGATGTCAGAGGAACCAGTTAGATTGGGGGGGTGGTGAGTGGCAGCTGGGTAGTCAGAGCAGCTGATTGTGGCTCTGTTTTTAAACCATTGGTTGTGTTCTGTAGACAGAACTTTATTGCCCTAGGAAGGATCTTTTTTTTTTTAATGTCCCACTCAGTCTTTCCATCATTTTACATCACAAGTCACTTACACCATCATCAATCACTGCTCTGACCTTCAGAAATTATGGCCTGCCTTCTTTATGATCGACAGTGAATTCTTGCCTTATTCTCATTTTCTGTGGGCTGTCCCTCAGGCACCCTGCCCCAGCCATCTCGGCATGTATGGTATGCCCTTCCCTGTGGGGTAAAGAGTCCCCAGGACTTCCAGAAGGGCAGCAGGCAGCATGAGCCTGCAAGGCAAACACAACTGAGTGATGGAATGTGATCTGTCGTGGGTGATAGGGTGGGGACTGGAGAATCAACTGCACAAAGTTTGAAGGAAAGAAAACCTAAACCCTATACCAGCAATGAGCAGTTTCTGCGCCTGAGAGTGCCACCCCTTGTCAAGACCCAGTGGAAGGAGTAGCGCCCTGTGCCTTTTTTAATAGCATCTGTATGAAAATTGAATTGTTCCTGGTTTCCCAAGCCTGGTAACACTCGAAACGCCTGAATGAAAAGCTGCAGCTTCACAAGCCTGTATGGATGTTTGATGACCATTTTTGCAGTCTGACCTTAGGCTGGGCCTAAGTCTATGTCTGTTTTGTTTGTAAACGTTGAAGAAGGGAAACTCTGCCTTTTCCTTCTTGTTGTAAGATTTTTCTTTTGTGACCCGTTTGCAGATGGTAAATCTGGCATCCTTTGGAACAGTGTTTCTTCAGCTTGACTTGTATTGTATGCTTTTATAGAGTATGGCATGCTCCATCACTACAAGATTTATGTCAGGAGAGGTGTAAACATTTCGTTAATAAAATGCTATGTTTACAGATGCATGATTTAGACTCTGGTGCTTTTTCTCTTCAA